AATACAGATAAAACCAACTTTCTTTTCAAGTTTGATTATATTCAATATACAGGAATGAGAAGGAAAATACTCTGAATCTTTATATTGCAGTTTTATTTATTTTTAACCTTGAAAAAGTTTTTGGCTCTACAGTGTTCTGTAAAGAATAGAAGAGACACAATTAAAACACGTGAGCGTCTTCCCTAAATGAGTTTTATGAGGATGCAGAAGAGGTCCGTGACCTCCCGGGTTGCCCTTGGTACCCCTGACCACCGCGGAAAGGAGTTCTTCCCCCTCTTGCCCAGGAGATCTAAGCCTGGCTGGCAGCCCGTTTGAGGCTCACAGGGGGAAGGAACCAGCCATCTCAATAGGTGTGTCCTTTTATTTAATTGGATTCATTGGGCTGACATTGTCTCACAAAACCATACAGGTTTCCAATGTACAACTCAATACATCATTATCTGCACATTGCACTGTGTGCCCATAGCCCAAAGCAAGGTCTCTGTCCCCACTTGTCTCTTCTTTGCCCACCTCCGCGTACCCCCTCCGGCTGTCGCCACACTGTTGTCTGTGTCTGTTTGCTGAGTCACCTCCTTTCATCCAGGTCCCCAGCCCCCTCCCCTCTGTTTCTATCTTGTTCATCAGTTTGTTTTGTTCATTAGATTCCACGTGTTTAGTGACATCATATGGTATTTATTTTTCTCCCGCAGGCTTATTTCACCCGCATAACGTTCTCCAGGTCCACCCAGGCTGTTGCGAAGGGCCTCCCTTCAGTCCTGCCATTTTCACGCGGCTCTTATCTTGCCTGCTGTCCTTGAGTCCTGCACCTCCTTTCCGTACTTTCTACAGAGGAGACGTTTAGTTCTCTTTATATTCATTTCCCGTCTTACCTTGCTCTGCATAAAGACTGTGAAGTATTTAATTTCTGCTTTTAATTTTATTTTTAAACATTTGATTACTACCCGAAACTTTGACTCTTCCATAGGTAATTGAAAGAAAGGTTTATTTCTTTCTAGTTATGCAGAATGTTCTCCCTCTGTATTAATTATCTCGTGTGTTGATTGTTTAGTAGAAGTTCTCTAAGTCCTTATTTTCCTCTTTTTGTACTTGATTTATTGATTTCTAGTAGAATTGGAAGTAATTTACCTGGAAGAAATTTTAGGAGAGACATTCTGGCTGTTTATAAGTGGAAATATCACAGCACCTTTTTAAAGATTTATTTTTTTATTTTTAAAAAAATTTATCTTTAGAAGGGAAGGAGAGAGAGAGAAAAACATCAATGTATGGTTGCCTCTTGTGCATCCCTGCTGGGAACCGGCCTGCAACCCAGGTATGTGCCCTGACTGGGAATTGAACCAGGATCCTCTGGTTCACAGGCCGGCGCTCAGTCCACTCAGCTACACCAGCCAGGGCCCATAACTCCATATCTTATCTTTTAGGGCCTTTTGCTATCAGAACTGTATTTATGATGACAATGCAATAATTTATTTGGAATCCCATGCTATTTTCTAGAGAGTAAATACCTGTTGACCAGGGTCTGGATGTAAAGATGTGACTAAGAGAAGCAGAGAGGGGACACAATGGCCTTCCTATGACAAGGGGGAGAATTGGAGGTGGATAAGGGGCAGTCAGAGGGGCGTGTGTGGAGAAGTGACTGCAAGACCCACAGCCTATGGGCTGAGGCGTCAGGTGGTGATAAAGAACGTGAAAATAAAATGAGAATTTTTAGAGGGAATTGCTATGAAGATTTGCTGCGTGGTGTTGATGCAAACCTTCCCCCTCCCCCACGCAGTCTTCAGTAAAACACTGAGTTCTCCTGACTGTCCCTCGGAGCGGACTTGACTTTGGCATGTGCTGCGTGTCTTCTTTGAGAAGGGCATAGAGCAGAAATAGTTCCCCAGCGTTTGGGGTACCTTGTAATGTGTGTGTTTTGTTATAAAATAGGATTAACAATATATATTTTAATTTAATATAATATAATACTATAGTATAATACTTTAGTACAATAATATAATATATACTATAAATATATAGTATATAAAATCTTTTATATAAGATTTTAAAATTTCTTTTTGAATCGATAACATGAATAGATTTATTCTGTATAACTGAAGAAAGCTCTATATTTATGTTTTTTAAGGGGTACGTAGCATTTCACATTATGAATAAATCTACTTTATTTAACAATTCCTTTATTTCTGGACATACAGGTAGTTTTCAGTTTTTCACTATTTTAAACTATGTTGTTAGGATTATGCTTGTACATATATTATTTTATATGGATTCAGCCTATTTCCTCAGAATATATTTATTCCCAGTGTTAGAATTTCCTAAGCCAAAGAACATTTCTAAGTTTTTAAAAAGTGTAGTTAAATATCTCCCAGAATTTGCCCATTCAGTCCTAAATAGGAGTGTCTGGTAACAAATCTTGTTTCTCTTCATGCCTTGTCAAACTTGGGCTTGCAAAGCTTTTTAAAGATATAATAGATAAAAATTGACATCTCATTGTAGTTTTAATTTGCATTGATTTCATTACAAGTAAAACAGATTTTTTTTTTTGCCCAGGTACTTTTGGCCATTTTAGCAGTTACATTGCTAGTTTATGTCACTTCAGTGTCTCCTGGAGGCTTCACAGTTTCCTCGATACTTAATGGGAACTTGTTACATTTTTAGGGAATCAAAACACTTCAGCATCTATGTCTCAGTTTGTCATTTGTTTTCTTAACTGTGATACTTTAATTTTTCTGTTTCGCTTTTAAGTTTATTTTAATAGCTTCTATTGAGGTATAATTGACATGCGATAAACTTTTAGCGTACATTTGAAGGGTAAAATTTGGTAAGTTTTTTGCTTACATATATCTGCTAAGCCATCACTGTAATCAAGGTGGCGGACGTAGTCACCGCCCTTCAGGGTGTCCTGGGCCTGGGCCCTTTGTAACCCCTCCCACCGCCCGCCTCTCCCCGACCCTCATATGCCTAGGCAACCGCTAATCTTGCTGTCGTTAGAGCTTACTTTGAAATTTCTTCTAGAATTTTACATGAGTGGAATCATACAGAATACACTGCTTTGGGTAATTGCTTATTAAAGAAACGCAAATTAAAATCACAACAAGGTACCACAACACACCTTTAGAGTAGTTAAAATGAAAAAGACTGGTCACACCAACTGTTGGTGAGGACGAGGAGCAGCTGGAATTCTGATAGGCTGCAGGGGAATGTATAGTGATACGGCCAATATGGCCGTCTTGGAAAATAGTGGGGTATTTTCTTACAAAGTTCAGTATCGGCCTGCCATGGGAGACAGTCATTCCACTCCCAGGTATTGAACTAACAGAAATGAAAACACAGGGTGAAGACTTGGTGGTGAGCATTCAGATGCTTTGTTTTAATGGCCCCCACGGGCAGCAGCCCCATTTCTGACACCAAGTCCGCAGATAAATAAATTGTGTATTTGTACAATGGGATAGTATTCATAAGTTAAAAAAAGAACTATTGATACACACAAAAATATGAGTATATTTTACAATAATATCTTCTGACATACAGAAATTTGGTATTTTATATATCACTTATTCTTACATGAGTTTTACCTTTATTGCCATACTTACTGAGAACTTCCTTGTTCCCAAATTAAATATTTAACTCCATAATCTTTTTTCCCATAATTTATTAGTACTCTATTTTTCACCCTGTCATTTTTAAACCACCTGGAATTAATTTTGACCTTGTAAGGAATTGGCATTGTGTTTCTCTGCTATGGTTAGAATGTTTCCAGGATTGTTTGAAATGGTCTAGTCCCTAGTGTTCTGGTCTGTGCTTCTCAGGTTGGATTCGGTACCTGTCGTGTGAATATTACACAGAATTAATGGGCCTCAGGCTGTACGATGAAATTTATGCATGATCCTGCTTTCCAACTAAATAAGAAAGTCATAATTTTCATAAGAGTTTCATTGTGTCGCTTGAAGAGACAATTTTGCCATAACGGCAACCATAGTATAAACACTATTTTGAATAATGTCATTAGTATGCCTCATTATTCTGCAAGCATTTCCGTTTGTAATTATACATGTCATTGATATATAATATCCCATCATTTAGAATGTTCTCATTTTCTTGCCATTTAAATGGCATTGCATGGAACCCCTCTGTGCCCATAACTTTTTGTTTCTTTGGAATAACTCCTGTATAACTCACTGCATGGATTCCCAGAAGTACTGTTAACTGGACTAAACGAATAGAAGTTCTGTTTCTTTGTGCTTATGTCTGCTCTGCTCTCCGGCAGGGTCATGCCAGTTTTGTGCTGGGGGTGGGCGCTGTGACTCACCGGTCTCATCCCAGCTTTGCTTTCAGAGAGTACTTACAATGTCGGCTCTGGGTACAGGGCGGGGCAAGGGTAGGTCTGCAGTTGTGCGTATGGAAGACAATACAGCAATTAATGCATAATAACACAAGAATAAACTGTGTTTCACGTACTCCCCACTGTAAATGACTGTTGCCGGGATGTAATTGGTCGACAGCCCCCAGTTGCCAAACCTCCGAATTGACAGTAGCATTCACCCCAAAGCCGTGTCCTGCAGGAGCTGCTCCCAGCCAGTGCCAGAGTCCAGACATCTCTACCCCTTGGTGGGGCTTCTCTGAGGGGCGGTTCTTGCTCTGGTCCTCCCCATTCCCAGTCTCACGGCTGAGGCCTCCTTAGATCTGCACTCAGGCTCCTTCTGCCCTCTCTCCTTGTCCAAGCATCAGACCAGCCTTGCCGTCTGAAGGTTCTACTTGCCTACTCCTCCCTCTCACCTTTGTCTACCACCATGTTTCTCCTCAGTAAATCTGTTCACGTCTAATTCTGTCTTGGCATGGCTCTTGGAGGACCCAAACTGACACGTACCCCGTGGCTGAAGCGGCATGGCAGTAATTCCTGTAGGACAGGTACAAACCCCAAATTCTCTTTTAAGGGAATGGCGAACTGATGGAGAACACTGGAGCTTTGAAGTTGATCCTAAGTTGAAGCCCAGGAGGCGAAAGCCTCAGCTTCTCGGAGTGGTGATAATTCTCTGAGTCTTTGGAGACCCTAGTGGTTTTGGTGTCGTGTGCATTTCTGGCTTCTTGTTTTGGCTTTTTGTGTTTTTTCTGCATGGGTGCTTAGATTTCTGGACAGATGGGGGCAAGATGGGCCTTGGCATCATGACGCTGTCCTTGACACAACATTGTCTGTACCTGTCACACATGAATAGAGGTCTTTCAAGGAAGCCGCAGTACAGCCTGCAGTGTCCTGGCAGCGTCCGCCCACAGCGTGTCCCGCCCGCACTGGCTGCAGGGAGAGGAAAGACCAGAGACGCCAAGTTAGACGCCGCATGGGAACTGCCAAGGGGTCGGGGCCAGAGGGGGGCGTTTGGCTTTTTATGTTGAGATGTATGCTTGAGATACCCAGCGAACGAGACTTGGGAAGGGCTGTGAGGAGCAGACACAATCTCCCTTGATTGACATCCTCTGGGAACTCTGAGGAGCTCTTTCTCTTGGCTGGTGTCTGCATTTTTGCAGCCAGTGAGGGCCTGTGAGTTTGCTGTGGTTGGTGCCTCCGAGTGCAGGGTGAGCATGAAGGGGTGGGAGAGCCAGGGCTTCCTTGTCAGGGGGGCGTGTGAACAGAGAGGAGGAACTGGGACTCTTCTTACTCACCCCAGCCTCCCCTTTTACCATGTGTCTGCTTCACTTGTGTTCTCTGGGAGTAAGAAAGCTGTAAATAGCAGTCAACCCAGGGGAAAAAAAAGCGCCTCATCATTGTCCAAGAGCATTAAAGGGTGACTAATGACTGCTACCCACAGTTTATTTTTATTTTTTGCATTCAGACACTGCCTAGCACCGGAGACCATCTTCTGGTTAATCCGGGGGGCTTTATTTCAGCTGTGTCTGCCTTTGGCTCACGGCACCTCCACACCCGCCCCCACCCCACCCGGCTGTCTTCGCAGCCATTGCCTGGCTCTCTGATTTCTTTCTCCGGTTCTTCATTCTCTCTTTGTCCCAGGGTTTGAGTGAGCACTGTGTGTGCTGTCCTGTGTGAACTTGCTGGGGGGGGAGGGTCTCGTCACCCCGCCTGCCAGCCCTCTGTTGGGCATGGGGGGTGGGACCTCTCCCAGGCTCATCCTCACCTCTGAGCACTAATCTGGGCTAATCTCAAAGGATGAAAATGGTGAAGAGAGATGCCTTCTCAGCTTCTTAGAAACTTGGGTGTAGGGAGAGCACATAAAGTGAGGAGAAATATTTTGGATCAGGTCGAGGCTGACTCTGGTTTCAGAGCAGGAAAAACGTTTGGGGAACTGGTTTTATTTTGTACAAGGTTACGTAGGGTGGTGGCTGGGTATGGGATATGAGACCACTGGTGGATGCGGGGATCCCTACTTTAAGTTGGAACTCAGTGGGGTGAGCCCTGCCTCCATCCAGCCTAGCTTGTCTGTCACCAGAGCAACCACATCTGCTACTGTTCCCAGCCCCCAGCTCTCCTTTCCCTCCCCAACCCGGTTTACCTGGAGTCACCAGGAATCTGAGGGCTGCAAAGACCAGGAGCAGGAGCTTCATGGCTGCAGGAACGGCTCAGAGAGCAGGTGGAGGTCTAATGGTGTCAGGGCCCTTTATAGGATCCACAGGACGCCAGGATATTGGCAGGGAACCAGAAGGAGTGGTCCCTGCCACTCGGATTCGTCAGTTCAGATCAGAGTGTCTACTGGTCTGTGGCCTGGACTGATTTATTGGATACCTGTGTTCTAGGCTGTGAGGAGGTAAAAAGGCAGAAGAAAGAGAATCTTTAAAACCATGCTTTTCAGCCAGCGTTGGTGAGGATGGGGGAAGTAGTGTCCTCCTGCCTTGTTGCTGGGAGTGTTCATTGGTAGCACTTTCGGAGAGCAATTTGACAATATGCATCAGAGATCTTAAAAAGTACCTACCATTTGATTCAGAAACTCTGTTCCTTGGACTTTTGTGTCACAGGAATAATTGAGAAAGTATGCAGAGAGGTTTATCTGAACAATGCTTGTAATAGCAGGAAGCCAAAAGCCACCTGAATGATGGTAGAACATGGATACAATAGACTATAGACTGTCATAGAACACTATGCATTCATTAAAAATTATCCAAACGTAAAAACGCCATAAGATCTACATCTAGTATGATTTAATCTTTGAACAAGAAACATCTGTGCTTCTGGTCAGGATGGCAGGTAAATGAGGTACTTTCACACTCCCACAGCCATGTCAGAACCTCTAAATCATAAAACTACTGTCACGCAGAACCACCTGAGGTCTAGCTGAACAGGAGTCCTAAAATTAAGGCTACTAAGGCGAAGCCACATTGGGACTTGGTAGAAGAGGGAGAAACTTGGCAAGGGCTAGTCCCATACCCGCATGCAGCTGTTAAAAGCCAGGACGGACATGTCAGCTGCAGAGATCCCCCACCAAAGAGTGAGGGGTCACACCTCCACACCAGGACCCCCAGCCCACATTCCAGTGCTGGGAAGAGATGTCCCCATAACTCCTGGCAGTTAAAACCAGTGGGGATTGTGGCTGTGGGGGACCAGGGCTGCTGGAGTCTCAGGCATTCCTCTTAAAAGGCCTACGTGTGGACTGACTTGGAATCACTTTCTCTGAGCTTCATCACTGGGGCAGCAGCTCGACAGGCACCGGAACACATGGAGAGGTACTGAATTGTCTGGCATCACGGTGAGGGCTGGAGGGGAAGCTTTCTCCCAGGCGGAAGTGCTGGCAGAGGCCATCATTGCTTTACTGAGTCTTCCCCTCACAGAGCCAGCAAGCGAATGCCATACCTGAATCTCCAGCCACCTGGCTAACACTGTTTACTCCACCTTCATGATTCTTTAAGACCCCGCCTCACCAAACTTGCAGGCCCATCCAAGTCTTTCCAGTGGCTTTTCCATGTAAGTGTCCTGTCTTGGCTCAGGCTGTGGACTTTTCCTAAAGCTTCTCAAACAGGCAGCGTCAGGTCTCTGCGTACCCTGTACCTCTTGCTCTGTGACTCCAGGCCCAGCATGAGTGGCCACCAGCTTTGGTCCGCAGCTTGGCCGCTTAGGGCCAGCTCTAAGCCCAGCACAAGTGTCAGCCATCTTCAGATCACTCTCTAGCTTGTGCTGGGTGGCCTCAGGCTCAGCACAGGGGGTGGCTGACCTTGGCTTGCAGCTCCTGGGAGGCCCCAGAGCCAGTGCACCCAGTGGGCAGCTTCAGACCACCCAACCACCTCCATGAATGACACACTCAAGGGGCAGACTCAGAGGGCACCAGAGCTCTGTCTAACACGTAGAAACAAACACAGGGAAGCAGCCAAAATGAGGAGACAAAGAAACGTGTCCCAAATGAAAAGAACAGGAGAAATCTCCAGAAAAAGAACAAAACAAAATGGAGAGAAGCAATCTACCAGATGCAGAGATTAAAACACTGGTTATACAGGTGCTTAATGAACTTAGGGGAGGGAGTAGATGAACTTAGAATTTCAGGAAAGAGACAGGAAACATACAAAGTGGAGGCAGAAGACAGAAAAAAGAACCGGTCAGGAATGAAGAATACACTAACTGAAATGAAGAATACATTACAGGGAATCAGCAGCACAGTAGATGAAAAGGGATCCAGTCATTGATTTGGAAAATAAGGAAGCAGAAAGCAACCAATCAGAACAGCAAAGGGAAAAAGGAATTAAAAAATGAGGATAGTTTAAAGATCCTCTGGGACAATTTCAAACATACCAACATTTCACATCGTGGTGCTGCCAGAAGAATAAGAGAGAAAGCAAGGGATGAAAAACCTATTTGACCCTGGCTGGTGTGGCTCAGTGGATTGAGCACAGGCCTGCAAACCAAAGGGTCGCCAGTTCAATTCCCAGCCAGGGCACATGCCTGGGTTGTGGCCAGGCCCCCAATAGAGGGCATGCGAGAGGCAACCACACATTGATGTTTCTTTCCCTCTTCCTCCCTCCCTCCCTCTCTCTCTAAAGAAAAAATCTTTAAGTTAATTTAAAAAAAAACTATATGAAAAAATAATGTTGGAAAACTACTAATCTGGTGAAGAAAATAGACATACAAGTCCAGGAAGTGGAGAGAATCTCAAAAAGAAGAACCCAAAGAGACCTATACCAAGGCACATCATAATTAAAATGACAAAGGCTAAAAAAAGTGCCAGGGGTTAAAGACAGAGAAACTTCAAAGCAGCAAAATGTAGCAGGTAAAGTGGACACAACTTTTTTCCATAATTCCTGCTTAAACGTTCAAATTTTCACCATCCCATCAACCGTCACGTTTTCACAGTCTAACCGAAGCCTGAGTCAGGGCTTCCCCAGTGGACTTCCGTGCCACGGTCTGTGGGACTCCTGTGTCAAGGGGCCCCGGAAACTCCTCTTTTCCACCGCTTGGTCATTTTACCCACCCCTGTGCCAAACAAGAAGTGAAGTCAAGGGACCCTGTCTCCCCCTTTTTAAAACAGGAAAATTGCTATTGTGGTTGTCTTTTAGTTTTGAGGGTTCGATATTATTTTATTTTTTATACTTAAAAATTTTTCAATTACAGTTGACATATTACATTAGTGTCAGGTATGCAGCATAGTGATTAGACATTTACATAACTTATGAAGGGATCACCCGATTAGTCTAGCACCTGGCACCGTACACAGTTACTACAATAGTATTGACCATATTCCCTCTGCTGTACTTTACTTCCTGTGACTGCTTTTATAACTGGCAATTTATACTTCCTAATTTCTTCGCCCTTTTCACCCATTCCCTCAACCCCTCTCCCACCTGGCAACCGTCAAAATGTTCTCTACATCTGTGGGCTTGTTTTTGTTTGTCGATTTATTTTGTTTTTTAGATTCTACATATAAGTGAAACATACAATGTTTATCTTTCTATGACTGGTTTATTTCACTTAGGAAGATACTGTCTAAGTCCATCCAGGATGTTGCAGATGGCAAGAGTTCCTTCTTTTTCACGACTGAGTAATATTCCATTGTGTATGTGCACCATGTCTTCTTTATCCACTCGATTATCAATGGGCACTCAGGTTGCTTCCATGTCTTGGCTGTTGTAAATAATGCTCCAGTGACCATAGGGGTGCAGACCCTGCCCTCCTTTTTTCAATCTTTATTTTGACTAATCTGTCTAATCACTGCCCCAAGGGTCAGACTTCTTATTGTTACCACTGTCTTCCTGCTTTTTATCAAACTTTCAAATTTCTTCAAACTGGGGTTGATAGGGCCGACTTGTTTGGGGGTCCATTAATGTTGGAGAATCACCAGGGGATCCCGTTGTCCCATCCAGCCTTTGGTAGGGCTGCATTAAAACCTTCGTTCGAACCCCGTTAATGCTTGTTTTATTGATCCCATCTCATTTTTTTAAAGATTTTATTTGTTTACCTTTAGAGGGGAAGGGAAGGAGAGAGGGAGAGGAGTATCAATGTATGGTTGCCTCTCGTAAGTCCCCCACTTGGGAACTGGCCTGCAATCCAGGCATGTGCTCTGACTGGGAATCAAACCACGGTTGTTTGGTTTGCAGGCCTGCACTCAGCTACACCAGCCAAGGCTGACCCCATTTCTTAACAACCATCTAAACTGATGATTAGGAAACTGATGATACTGATCCCCAAAATGAAATAACTCCCTCACATTAACACCCAGGGTTTTTTTTTTCCTTTTTTCTCTTCTCCCAGATAGATCACCTTCTTGGTGACCAGAGGTGCTTTCTGGTGTCCCTGCATAATCTCCCCTTGGGAGTCAGTTCCCTGGCTTGTGGTGGAAGCTCAGGCTCACTCAGATCTGAGCTTGGCCTGGCATCAGGGTCTGAACCAACTTCTCTTTCACTTTTGGTTCTGGATTGCAGACAACAGTAGGTGAGGGATTGACTATTTTGCTTTTTTCTTACTAGTTTGCATTTCCCTATGCAACCAGTGGAGGCAACTTCCCAGGAGTTGGAATAATCTTTAGATTCCCTTGGTAATGGTTGCCTTGAGTAGCTGGTTGCCGCACAGCTGCTGTTCCAGCCCACGGGGGACCACGTGGCCTCCCAGGAATCACAGGTTCCTCATTCCACAGCCTTTCAGCTTTCTCTTTCAAAACCATTTGTCTTCATGAGCTAGGATGGTTTGAGCGAATTCCAATTCTGACGCTGGTTTGAATGTGTGGTGTTTTTTTCCCCCCTGCTTTTGAAAGAATTTTATTTATTTGTTTTAGAGAAAGGAGGAGGGGGAAGGCAGGGAGAAAGAGGGAGAAAAACATCCACGTGCCATAGATACATTGATGGGTTGCCTTTCACATGACTCCAAATGGGGGCCTGGCCCACAGCCCAGGCATGTGACCTGACCTGGGAATTGAACCAGCAACCTTTTGATTTGCAGCCTGGCAGTGAGTCCACTGAGCCACACCAACCAGGGCCGAATACGTGTTTTTCAACACCAGCACATATTCAGCCAACTGAATACTGACACTCTATCTGGAGATAGCATCAGATCCCACAGTTTGAGAGCTTGGTCCTAAAGGCTGCCCCTCCACCCCCATCAGACACCGGTCCCACGGGCAGGCTGTCACCGG